CGACCGCTAACTGCACCCATCCCTGCTGGCAGCGGGCGCAGGCAGCTTCTCCCACGCACGCAGGGCAACCTCGAACCACCGGCGCTTTGGGGCTGGGGAGCGGGGGCGGCAGCCCAAAGCTGTGCTCGCTGGCTCTCCCCGGACCTCGCCGCCTTCATCTGCCATCAGATACGTGCGCGGTTCACTGGCTTTGCGCCCTGGGAAACTCCTGAGACGCCCTTCCTAACTGTGCTTCGCTCCCTTTTTGTTCTTTCAGGCTGGGACGGGGTGAGATGGCAGCCTCTTCCTCATCCTCTTCAGCCGGCGGAGTCAGTGGCAGCTCTGTAACGGGATCGGGGTTCAGTGTTTCGGACCTGGCGCCGCCCCGAAAAGCCCTCTTCACTTACCCCAAAGGAGCTGGGGAGATGCTGGAAGGTGATTGCTCCTGCCCTCCTCCTTCCCTGCTCCTCCTGGTGTGCAGAGGAGTTGCCAAGCTTGGCACCCCACTGCCCTTTCTGGACTTCAGCTGGCAAAAGCTGGAGGGAGGAAGGAAGCACCGGGGCTCGGGTGGGTCCTGAGCAGCCCCGGCTCTCCCACCAGTTGTTCACGAGGAAATGATTTTTCTGGCAGTCACCTGGTTTTTTTTTAGCTCCATGACAACACTTCAGACGAGGAAGCGATCTACCTGAAAGGGTACATGACGGTGTTAATTGCTCATTGTTAGCTAATCCTTTGATGTCGGGCAGGAATTACTGTAAAGATAGCTGAGGCAGGAGTATTTTTCTTGGCAAACTGCATTCTGGGGTTGGATTTGACTGGGCTAGTAGTACAGGAGGCAGCTTGTATCCCTGCTGGCCAGGAAACATAAGGCGAGGTTTTGCCCTTGACCCATGTTAAAACCTCGCCACAGAGGTCTGCGAGAGGATAAATCAGGACTGGCCCTCTCTTAATCCTTTAAGGCTGAGCATGTTCCCCTTTTGGGCTTACTCTTGTCGGGGTGTTTCTCCAGGGTCGGGGTTCTGATCTGGCACGGCGTCCTCCGTTTGGGTGCCCTGCCACCTGCTCCTTTGGGGTTGCCCAAAGGAGGACCCAGGTACGTCACAGCTGTGCCTCCTTTGTCCCTGTTCTGGGTGAGGGAGGAAGGGCAGGTCCTCCAGATGACAGGGTTGGTCTGTCTGTCTGTCTGTCTGCTCCCCTTGAACTTCCCGTGTCACTGTACCTGTGCTTTGCGACTGGCCCTCTCTTAATCCTTTAAGGCTGAGCATGTTCCCCTTTTGGGCTTACTCTTGTCGGGGTGTTTCTCCAGGGTCGGGGTTCTGATCTGGCACGGCGTCCTCCGTTTGGGTGCCCTGCCACCTGCTCCTTTGGGGTTGCCCAAAGGAGGACCCAGGTACGTCACAGCTGTGCCTCCTTTGTCCCTGTTCTGGGTGAGGGAGGAAGGGCAGGTCCTCCAGATGACAGGGTTGGTCTGTCTGTCTGTCTGTCTGCTCCCCTTGAACTTCCCGTGTCACTGTACCATGTGCTTGACTGCGTGAGCCCAAAGTTCACTGGGGTGGCCCCTGCAGCTCAGAAGTGACTTCATTCCAGTAGAGACAAGCACGGTAGCGCAGGGCAGCTGGGAACCGATCTCTACGTCGTTTAGGGACTGGTTTTATTACACATTAGAGCCCATATGCCAGTCTATTGAAGTAATTATGACTAAAAGCTTGCTCATAGAACTTAACGAGCCCTCAAAACAAATTAAAATAATGAAGCACTTCGTGTTACCAAATAGACAGACAGCTGTTCCTCCCGAGAGCCACTCGGCAGGACGGCCGGGCTAGGGCGTTGGAGGAGAGGGAAGGGTATGTTTGGAAAACCAACATGGCATTTCAACAGCTTGCGAGAGGATGCTCCGAGCGCGGCGAAACTCCTGACTCTTCCCTCTTACCCGGGGTTCAGCTTCGGATTAGACATTCCAGGGCCAGGGGTCCGTTTCTACCCTTGGGCTTTAAAATTGCTTCTCTTCCTCCTTTTTACGGCATGGAGCTTTTACATGATTTTGCTTCGGGCTGACCTGTTTACCAGTAACGCGCTGTTCGTCTGCTCTGGGCGGCAGCAACCACTAAACGCTGTCCCTGTCGCAGGAAGCTTTTAAGTTACCTTTTTAATTCCCAAGATAAAAGGCGATGCATCCATTCTTTCATCAGGCAGGTGCTAGTGGGGTAGCTGCATACCAGTTTCCCCTTCAAAAATCCCCACTAACTGACTGATTTTTATTGTTACTTTAACTGTCTCGCTTGTTTTTAAATAAACCCTAGGATTTCAGGGGTTTTTTTTTAGGAAGGAAGTAGTATAAACTTGGCATACAATTAGCTATGTAGTCCAGATTGCTTTTATTTCTGTGACAGTTGTGTGAGCAATTACTTAGATGGCAAGATTACGCATTATTTGAAATCCTTTATGCGGGGTTATGGTCGAAGCCTGTGGGAAATCATAAAGCATTATAAGGACACACGCGTCCGAGCCCCGAGGGAATCAGAGACTGCCATAATATTGGCTGGCTTCTCCTTAGCTTTCCTCCTGTTCAAAATGGGCTAAAATTGCTTGTCAGAGGGGACGTAACAGAATATTGGCTGGGATGTCTCCCTGCTGTCCCAGCTTCTCCCCAGCAGCACCGGGAGCCAGCCAGAGCCCTGCACAGGATTTGAGCGCGGGGCCGTACGGGGCAGAAAGCAGAGCGCTGCACGCTCAGTGCAGGGGAAAGTGTTGGAACGAGGCAAGTGGGGAAACCCACACCTTGAGTATCAAAACAGAAATTCAGTGGCGCTCAGTTAAGGCTGCTCAGTTTGAAAACTCTCAGATTAAACCACGTCCCTTTTTCTGTTTACAGATGGCTCCGAAAGATTCCTCTGCGAATCTGTCTTCAGCTATCAGGTTGCATCTACATTAAAGCAAGTGAAACACGGTAAGCGCCGTCTTTTTTGACTGCATGTCAACCAGGGGAAGATGGCAGGGGAGCGGGGAGAAAATGTTCTGGGGTGCCGACCACAAAAAAAGCAGAATAGCCTTTTAAGTTGGCGAATTAACGCTAAGTCACACCATCGTCGAGTCCTTTTGCAAGCCCTATGCAAAGCATGGGGAACCCACACAGCCTGGGTGGGAACAGGCAGTGCCTTTCGAAGCTTGTTTTTCCATCGCTGTGTGCCGCGGCTGCCTTCAGGAGAGGTGAGGCCAGAAGAGGAGGTTATGGGCAGGAAACGCCCACGCTCTCATCTTGGCCCAGCGCTGACTGTCTCTCTGGCCGCGGGCAAAGAGGCGCTTGATTCCACCTTTGTTTCTCTGCCGAGCCCTCTGACAGCGGCAGGGTCAAGCGAGGTTTCCAGAGGTGCTCGGGACAGGGACATGCAGGTGGCACGACGGGGCCGTCTCCGCTCCCTACCTCCCCCAGGAGGGAGCCTGACGTCTTGTTTGAACTTCGGCTTCCCTCCTGGGGCCTTTGCCTGCCACCTAGGTGCCTGTAACCGAACAATGGGCTTGACTGCACGGCAGCTTTCATTCTCAAGACATTGGGCAGAGCTAAGATCGCGTCTACTGCTTGAGGGTCACATCCTTTCTGGGTCCCCGCCTCTTGTCAGCTAGAATGGGTTGTCTCAGACCAGAGAGGTTTCCTGTTCTCCACCGGTGAGGGTTGTCAGGAGGAGGTCTGGGGGCGTGCAGCACCTTGATCCTGTATTTCTAAACTGAAAAGCAAAGCTGAACTTCAGAGCCGTGGTTTCCGCAGCTCTGGTGCTACTGTGGCTGTAGCTACCGGGGGCTGCTACACAGACCGGCACCCTGATAAGCACCAGCCTTTGAAACTGGTTTGCAGAGCACCGGTCACCCCCCCCGTAAGAAAAGGGAAAGGCTTAGAAGAAGATGGACATCATAATTTTTTTGGCTTGTTTGTTTGACAGTTCCCAAAAGCACTCGGTTGCAGGAGGTGGAGTGAGAACGTCCCTCTTAAAAACACCCACTGCTGCAGTCAGCATAAATGGTGCACGTTTTATGTTACGCCTCTTGCCTAGTAAGTCGGCTCGTACTGTGCCGTTTTTCCAAGAGGTCGCTGTTAAACTTCCAGCAGAGCCAAGAGAAGAAGGGCTATTCTCATCTCCGTACCACTGCAGCTAATTTAATTGAAAATGGAGCCTGCGTGCCCAGCGCACAACCGGTTTTAAATAAAGCCGAGAGGAACAAGCTGTCCTGGGGATCCCTGGGGAGGCAGCCCGTCTCTCTGCGGGGACCTTCGTGTCATTAGCGTGCTCCGATTGCGGAGCCTTTCTGCTTACGGTCATCTGGGTCCTCCTCAAAGGACCCTCATTAAAACGAGGAGTTCCTGGCGCTGCACCCAGCTCTACCGTGGGCTGACCAAGCACTCTCTGAACTTCTCTGTTCTTTTACACTATAAATATTTATGCTAAACAAATGAGCTTCATCCTGTTTTCACCCCCCTATGCTAATCGGCCGCGCGTTTCCCTGTTAGGACTTGAATTTTACATGGCACGGGGCAGGGATGGGTAAATATGCATTTGGTGCCGGACGAGGCAGAAAAGCCTGTCCCTGCTTTCTCCTGCGATCCGGCAAGGTTTCGCCGTTTGCACAGGGCATCGTGGAGAGTGGGTTTGTATTCAAATGGGCTCGGTGGGTTTTATTCTCCTCCGTTCCCCATTGACAACTGGGAACCTGCGTCTCATTGAAAGGTTTAATTGTACTGTCATTGCAAACCACAGTTACCTTTGAACTTCTCGCAGATCAACAAGTCGCACGGATGGAAAAACTAGCTGGTCTGGTGGAAGAGCTGGAGGCGGACGAGTGGAGGTACAAGCCAATAGAGCAGCTCCTGGGATTCACTCCCTCCTCGGGCTGAGCGTGTCTGGATCGCTGCTGTCGGGGAGCAGAAGAAAAACATTCTCTGGCCTGGCTTCAAAACACACCCCCGTTTATCAGGATGCTGACAGCTGCATTGGCAGGCCTGGGCTTTTTTTGTTGGTTTTGTTTTTTTTTTATTATTTATTTAAATTGAGAGCAGGGATCCCCCGTAAAGCTGCCAGCAAATGGAAATGATGGGATTCTTTAAGTCATCCGCAGCATTACAGGCTGGCAGGGCTCGGTTTCTGTAACTTAGAAGGTAGGATCAGTTTTACAGAACTGGGAGAATCGCCTTGTTGTTTACAGAGAGGAAGGGTAAGGTTTACGGTGCAGAGGCGGGGAAAGCAAGCCGATAAGTCAGTCCGGCCTTTCCCCAGTGTGTGGCTGAAGGACTGGGTGATCTGGGAAGCCTCCATCTTTGCCACTTCAGCCGGGCCTCTGTAGGGTGGAGGTAGGATATCCCGCCAGAAACGCTCTTCGGCCCCAGCCACTGTTTTGGGGGGTGAACAGGACGAGAACTGTCCCAGGCTGGCTGAGAGGGGGCAAGCGGTGACGCTTTCTCCGGAGCCACCTCGTGTATCGCCAGAGCCATTTTTCTCTCCGTTTCTCTTGTGTCTGTACAGCGAGTGCTGGCAGGACGCTGTTCTCTTCATGCAGAAGCTGTATCTTTAATACCCGGAAATTCTTTTTCCTCTTTATTATCTATTAGATTGCTCTGTGATAATAAAATAATTCTGTCTTTGAAACTGTTTCCCTCTTCAAAGCTTGGTGTGGGGGGAGTCAGGTGAAGAAACAATCAGCTGTTGGGTAGGTAACAGGAGGTTTCACAAAGCTCTGAGGCAGCTCGGCTGTTACAATGGTCAACTGAAGTTCAATTTAAAAAAAACCAAACCCTCTGAGGAACCAACCACGCTTGCTTTACGCTCAAAAGTGAATTGATTTAAATCAGATTTTAATCCTGGTTTAACTCTGCTGGCAGAAAACCCTTCTTTAAATCCATCCATTTTAATCATCTTGATTTTTGTTTCTACTTTGCTTCTGTTCTGGAGGGGAACTGGATTTCCATTTTCTGGCATAACCCTTTCAACGTGTTCCTTATGTTACCACGGCGTTTTTGCTAGCCAGCAGGGGGATAGGCTCAGCCCTGTGTTTAAGCAATCGTACGCCTTGCTGCTCCAGATGCCCAACTCCACCATTTTCAACATCTTATTTACAACTATGATTTTTACTCACTCTTTCAGTCCAGCCCCATCTTAGTTATATCACCACCAATTTGCGTTGGCTAAAACTAAGGGGGGAAGAAGTACACATTTATGAATTAGTTTATGAATTAGTTCTAGTATCAAGAGTTGACTTTTCCGTGATCTAGAGCCGCCTGCCGCCCAAAAGCCAGCCCTGCTCTGCGGGTGAAGCCCCAGTTCCAGCTCTGCACCAGCAGAAATTTCACCAGACGGTTTCTGAAACGGTGTACGGTCCCTCTCACGTAAGGCTACAGCCCGGTGGAGACGTGTCCCACGCCGCCTCTCCCACTGCACCGCCCGGAAAACCTCCTCCCCAGTCCTGGAGGGCCGCCAGCCCTGGCTCGGCGGGGGCCTCCAGCACAGCAAGCGGGTCCTCGGCCAGCGTCGCTTTAAACATGATGGCATTCGGTGTTAAAAACCCCATTCCTGGATGGGGTTATTCTGAAAAGGAGGGAGCATTTCAATCGTCAACTTGTTTGTTTGTTTTCTATCATCTATTTTTAATCCCGCTTACTCCAGCCACCTCAACTTGGCCAAACTCAAGAAGGCATTGCGGGGTTTAGGCACGGAGCCGTGGGCCTTCAGCCACCGACCACACAGCAAGTGCCCCGAGTC